AGCACCTTTTTTGTGTTCTTTTCCCACTCTTGGCATCTCATATAATTATTTGGCAAAAAAAGTCCTTCTCTACTTGTGCTCAGTTTTTACCAAAATTCCTCTTGAAAATAGTGTGTCTGTAAAGCTTTCCAGTGGTAATTCACCACATTAAAAATAGATAAGCTTAAGAGCTTGCGGTGCTTGCAGTCTGAATATTTACCCATGTTAGGATGTTTGAATGGCACTGTCTGTGTCTGATTTAGATTAGATGTGAATTATGTCACCTTCTTAGCTCAGTACCAAATACACTGCTATTTTTTGATACATAGCAGCTATTAACTATAGCTATTATTCAATATGGAAATGCATCTTTTCAGCTATCTAATGTACAGCTGTACAGTTAACGTTTCATCATTTGCCAGCACTTCCCTGCGGGAGGACCTGAGACACTAGCTTTTCCACAGGAAATAACAATGGTGCCACTGGTTGGTTGGTTGGGTTTTTTCCTCCTTCCATAGAGTTATGTGTGATGTAACGTTTTTCAAGACATTAAGAAAGGCAATAGGTACCAAAATACTACATAAGCACTCTTAGCAATACCTAAAATACCACTATAAAATTATAATAGGGTGACCCTTTCTGTAAACTGGAGCAAACACAATTAATCGTTCCACGTCTGCTCAAGTTTAAGTGGCTTATACAAAACAATGTCACTTTTTAGACATTGTTTTGTATAAGCTTTAGAAAAGGGCATGATTAGTCTCTCAAACAATACAGATAGATAAGGAGATTTTTCAAAGTTCAAAATACATCTGAGTTGAAAACTATTCTTACATTTTGCTTCAATTTTGTTCATGTTTATTCTTGCCTGTAATTTTTCACATAATTTTTCCCTCTAATCTTTACACATTTGTTATAACTAATGAACTGAATAAAAAACCTTAGTAACTAATCAAAGAGTATCTATTAAAGTAGACTTCCTAAGGAAACTTCTTAAAATGTGGCAGTCTGCTACAGGTAAAATCTGTGTCACTTTTGGTAATCCCTATACGCATACTACTGTATGCGTTTTATTTCTGATTTAATATACTACTGCTTTTGTATCAACTGCATATACTTCCTTTTGATCTGTAACAAGCACCTAAATGTAATATACATGTCCCTATTATGGTTTTAGAAAAGTGCCTTCACAGGAACATATATACAATTTACAAAATATACGCAATATTGCAAGAGAAAAACAAAGCGGCAAATGTATCACCATGTATTAAATCCAGCCCTGCTAAAATGTCCAGCATGCTTTTTAACAGGCGCACAGAAGAAGATTTTTCTCTGCATCTTTGCAAACACATTTACTGTTTCTTTACCTTTTATAATTCAGTATAGTGGAGAGACAAAAGTATCACCATAGTCCTGCATACCCATTTAAATAAATGGATGTAGAGGTGCTAAATATAAGCAAGGACAGCACATGGATACATTGCTAAGGAAACCTGAGCTGGAATCACTGGATCTTCCTGGGGCACTGAATACTTCTCCCCTTGCACTTTGATAGCTTGTGGATGTGCAAGCCAAGACTTCATGTCGTGGTTTAACCTCAGTTGGCAACTAAGCACCACGCAGCCGCTCGCTCACTCCCCCCCCTCCCGATGGGATGGGGGAGAGAATTGGAAAAGCACGTGAGAAAACTTGTGGGTTGAGATAAAAACAGTTTAATAATTGAAATAAAATGATAATGATAATAATATGATAATAGTAATAATACACAAAGCAAGTGATGCACAGTACAATTGCTCACCACCCGCCGACCGATGCCCAGCCAGTCCCCGAGCAGCGGCCCCCCCCGGCCAGCTTCCCCCAGTTTATGTACTGAGCATGACGTCCCATGGTATGGAATGTCCCTCTGGCCAGTTTGGCTGTGCCCCCTCCCAGCTTCTTGTGCACCTCCAGCCTTCTCAGTCGGTAGAGCATGGGAAACTAGAAAGTCCTTGGCCAGTGTAAGCACTGCTCAGCAACAACTAAAACATCGGTGTGTTATCAACTTTGTTCCCATCCTAAATCCAAAACACAGCACTGTACCAGCTACCAGGAAGGAAATTAACTCTATCCCTGCTGAAACCAGGACACTTCAGCATATGCTTTCTTTTAAATATGAAGAATATACTGAAAGTTGGGCTTTCTGGACACTCGGACTCATCTTATTATGGTTATATGAACTCTAAGCAAAACGTAGATGGTGATATGATGCATTGGTTCAAATAATTTCAGTACCCTTTTGAAATGCTGATTTTATTTAATCTTCCAAGGTATAGCCAGACTAAATAAAATATATGCCACCTATGCGTTTGGAAATTTTCTCTAAGAGCTACGTTTCTAATAATTTGAAACAACAGAGGTGTGCAGGTTGGCTGCTGAACTGATGAAGCTTGCATTTTGAAAGCAATTCATGATGGTAATTTCATTCACATTCACATTACGTGAACTGGCTAGTTGGATTTGTACCAATTACTATTGCCAAAACGATTGTCACACATTTTAGATATGCTAGTAAAAACATGTTCCATTTTGGACAAATTTTTGAATAGTCAATGCTGACTCTTTTTCCACTTGAACACAAACACCTGATTTCTCATCCCATTTAGAACAGCAAAGATATGTTGTGGCCTTCTTGCTTACTGTCCAGTAGTCTTTTAAAAAACAATATTGTCCCCAGACTTTAAACATAAGAGTGGAAAAATTTCTAAATTAGATGGGGGACCAGGTGTTTGTCAAGCTCATTTCATAGATCCTTAATTCATGGATACTGTTAAGTGAATGCATAGAAGACATTCTTATCCTCATTGGACCTGCTTAAATGCTTTAAAAATAGACTACTTTTTGATAAAAAGATAATGTAATGTATCAGTAATAACTTGTTACAAAGTGAACACTAAAGAATGTCCAAACTGGATGACATTGAAGATTTTTACCAACACTAACGTTTAAGATTCAATGAAATGTGCTGACAAGTATGAAGTCACTATCTTTAAAAGGAATCTGCTGATTTATTGTTAAGCTTCCATTAGCCAAGACTGCTAGATTTCTGTGTTACACCTCCAGCAATAACTGTTTTGAATGCATTCCATTTAGCATTTTTAGTTGTCGTCCTTCTAAGCAAACAGCTCCTCTGCTTAAAAATAAGCAACAAATCAAATTAATTAAAATGAATCAATTCGACTGGTAAAGTGGTGTTTGGGAATGACTCTGAGGACCATAAATTCAAATTAAGGCTTGCGCGACTTCTTCCTCGGTTTGAAGAGGCTCCCTGGTACATTAGCAAAAGGAAAGAGGGAAACCAGTCACCCTGTTCGACAGCATTCACCTGGGATGCTTGCAAAAGTAACTGTGCTGAGGGCTCATACAGCCAGATTTTATAACCGTATCATAAACCAGAGAATGAAGCAGACAGACATAATAGCAATTAATTGTACCTAATGTTAATATTCAGATAAGGTTAAGTAGGACAGTAGTCATATTTGAGTGCAGTAGTAGGAAGTTAATTATTGCAAAACTTTGATCATGGACATACAGTGTTTATAATTTTATTCATAGTATACTTTGCTTGTTCTGATACTTCCTTACTCCAGGCAGTAATGTGGGTCGTCAGATTCAGTTTTAAGGTAAAGGTATGATGGATACATGATAATTTACACATGTTCATTGAATATATTTTTCCTAACTGTATTTTAACGATCAGATTGTACTACAGAGCACTTGCTCTTTTTAGTAAGCTTTTAAATAGAGTTACAAAAAGTGCACACCATGCTCTATTGCCAATACCAATTGTCTTCTTTTTGCAAATACAATGAATGCAATATACTCTTCCCACTATTCTGTATTATGTTTGATTTATTCACCAATCTAAACTTGTATATGGCTTCTGGTTTTTGCATCTGAATGAGGACCTAACAAGTGTGAGGACAGGATTAAAGTATTGCTCCCGACATTAGTTTCCTAAAAGCAGTCTTTGTTCTGCTGCTCCTCTATGTCTCCTACTTTACAGGATCATCCTATGGCTCATTTATAATCTACTGGATTTAATACTTGAAAATATGATTTCTGTATTCAGTATTCATGCTTTACCTTTTGTCTTCAGCTGGTCTGAACTGGGAGCCTATACTTTATTATCTACTTAGAACAGAAAGAGAATAATATGAAAGGGATATCAAACTCTTAAATATCCACAAAATTTGTAAAAGAGATAGAGCCACATTATGTAGGCATAATTAGAATGATGCAAGGTTTAGCTGACTATGTATCAGCACTGATTTTCTGCAAGGGATACTGTGTGGCTCTTAAGGTTTTATATTTAATTAACTACTAAAGAAAAGCAAAATAATCTTCATATTCTTTTACTTTTTCAGTTTTAGTGGTATTAGGATTTTATCCTAAACTAGAATTGAGTATTCACATGGAGAAAGGGAAGAATCTGATATGCTGTTTATTTCTTGGTGTGATAGGTATACCTGATGGTTACAGAAACAAAGAGCCAGTCAGTTTTGTGGTATTTTGTAATATGGCATTGTCACTGCAAGAGAATGATGACCATTCACGTCAAATATTTGGGTTGGACGTCATGTGGTGTTTGAGTTTTCACAGCAAACTTCCAGAGTGTTGAGAGCATCTGCTTAACTTCCAAAATGCTTGTCAGCTGTTCCACTTTTTCTCTGCTAGTTTTACAAGGCTTCCACCTCTACCAACATGTGTGATATTAAACAGAAAAAGAAAGTACGATCACAATAAATATAAGTAAGCTTTTGTGGTAGTTTTGACAATTTGTGTCAATTGCCTCATGGCCATGCCAATTGTGTGGGGCAAGATTTTTGGGGGTTGTATTTTGTATGATTCAGTAATCTCAACTGGTGTACCCCACAGTTGGGGGAGCAATGAATTGATAGTAATGAGTTTTGTATTGACTTGCTTGTTCTAAAGACTGGTTTAAAACACATAAAAAGATTAATAAAAAGTTCTTTTTCTTTCAGGTGGGAAATGAAAGAAGGTGCAGATCTTGAAGATGAGGAGAAAGTTATGGTGCAACACTTAAAAAATGTTTATTTGACACAGAGCACTGCTACCTCAGAGGATAAAGAAGAATAATTACCTTGACAGGTTTCGGGTAGCACCTTTTTCTGAATTCAACATGATTAACTTAATGGCTTAGTTATAACTGACAGGACTAGAAAGCTCAGGAATATATAACTTGAGTAGGAGTTTTAAACTAAAGAATGTTCCCCTGTTATTGTCTAGTCACCCCATCCAGGCAGCAATTGTTCACACATACATAAGGCGAACAACAATATATGAAAATGTCAATGTCACAAAACAAGGAGGGTGTCTCTCGATACTGCGGAGGCATAAACCTGAATGACAAACCAAGAACTGTTTTAAAAGTATAAAACTTACTCTGAAAATAATGCAACCTGGGACACATGCTGAGCAAACACCCGTGCTATGCTTCCATCGACCATTTTGGAGTCAGAGTCAGCCTGCCCCCGGTTAGTGTCGCTCAGGGACCTCTTCTTCCCCTTGGTGCTTGTGTTCTAGTTAGTCCTGCCATTAAATCACCCAAAATGTATGAAAAAGGACAGGTATAGGCCATAGGTCTGCAGTCCTTTGTGAGTTGCTCCAGGATGAGTATGCTTGGCCATTATTCCCAAGCAAAACTGCATCAGCTTTATTGCCCTCGCAAATGCTAACTTAACATCCAGTGTACGTTATGGCTTAAAAGACACATTATAAAGAAACTTGTTAGCAGCTTTTAAAGTTTTGAGAAGCATCTTTTTATTTAAAAGAATTATTCACAGGCAGTGCTCAAAGGACTATCTTAACAGTGAACTGAGAAGAGAAAATGATAAAGAATGCAATATTTATTGCTGATAAAAGACAGTGAAATTTCATTTTCAAAGTAAGCCCTGTCTGATATTCAGGTTTTCCAACTATTAAATGTTTTTCTTTTCAGTAAAAGTTCTTCCTCAAAAACTAAAAATAGCTGAGTTAGACAGGTGGCTATTGTGACAATATTTTTTATACAGAAGGTGTGGTTGATATTTCCTTAGCGCTACAGAAATAATCCATCATTTTGCTATTTGTTTCTTGCATTGGAAGTCCAAGGAAACCATTTCCTCTGCCTGGTGAAGGACCCTGGCAAGATCTTGCCAGGGCTGCAGTCTGAGCTGCAGCTATTCCTGTTCCCACCACATCTTCTCACAGATGCTATTATGGACATAACTCAGACCACTTGAGTAGGAGGAAGGCATATTTTTTTCCTAAAGACTTCAGCAGCATCACGGGTAACCGTAACGCTAACGCTGCTGTAGGGTCTAATCTGAAATGCAGTTTTTCCTCCTCTTAATTGCTCTTTTTTTTTATTGTGCATATAAAATATCAGACCTTTAAAATTAAAATGGGGACCACTGCATCTTACACATCTCCAAAGGTCTTGTTACAACACGGCATCAACAAAGGGGCTGTGAAGCACCGGTGCTTCAAAAATGCTAAAAATATTATTCAAAGAATAAAACAGACTTTTTCCTCCGCTGCTGATATAGTAATTTCAGATCATAAAGAAGTGATGGAGTGCAAAAACAGTTTTTCTTTGCCTTGTATTTCACCTTTGAAGATTAGTTGTGGTCTTAAGGCTTAAAACATGGCTACAAGGATTGCCGATGATGGCAGGTACAGTATTCTGACAAATGAGGCACACATGCTCCAAGCCATACTAATAATGTGTTAGTGCACGTGGAAGTTGGAGTTTGGAATATTCTCTCCTATTTTATCAAAATCTATTGTACATAATTAACTTTTTGTATAGACATAAAGTGAATTTCTGTCTATGTGGTGAAACTGACTGAAATACTTCTTGTGAAAAAGCTCCCCTTCTGGGAAACACTTATTCTGAATAGGATAAACTTTGCAAGTGAAATAAGCTAACCCAGAATAAAAACCCTCACTTACTCTGAAATGGGAATGTCCATATGGGGAGTTATTCCAAACTGGTTATTATCCTTTAAATTCACAACACACCTGGTTCTGGAATAATCTGTAAACTGTCACGTTAAAAAAAAAAAAAACAAACAACTCTTTATGCCCCTTCCTCCCTTCTCTCCCTGCCACATTAATTCAGCAGCAACCCACTGGGTAGCACTAGGAAAATTTCGTCTTTCTTAGCAAGAGTATATTTATAATCTTTACCAGCGTGGAGCTGACAAGACAGAATAACTAGCCTGAATAAAAGCTGAATCTTTGCACAATATTTTATTTGGATGATGTTTCTCATATCCAAACTTGTCTCTCCATATACGTCTTTTAGAGTATCTGAATGCAAGCTAGTATGTGTTTGAAATTGAACTTCTCCCTCAGTCCTTACTGAGAAACAGCAGGGCTCGATCTGTTGGCAATGTAGTGATCCTATTAACTGACCTTCAGGGTATAAAAGAAACATCATCTTGGCAACATCACTTATGCTGAATAGATAGTTTTGCAACATTCACGTTTGTTCAATAAAATTACAGTAATAATAAGAGTTGTATAACTAAGATTGCTAAATAACATACCATTAATTTATCAAGACTGCTTACTTTAAACTTAAACCCTTAATTGACGAAAAATGAAAGACACTTGAAAGAGCTGATCATTTTTACATTGTAAGTTGTGTAAAATTAGGAGTACTTGTATAACAGATTGCTGCTTTCTTTGGCTTTTCTTAATAAAACAATAGTTCTGTATTCTTAAAAAAGTTCTGCTGATTCTAAAATTGACTTAAGATTAATTTCATTTTGCGAGTGATGGGTTCATAAAGCTGCAATGTTTTGCTTTTGTATTTTATGTCCTGCCTCTTTGTCAGTACTTGTTGATCCAAGAACGTCTCACATTTATGTTTAGCCTCAATAAATGAAGGCAACAGGAGCCATATTTGCTGGCTGCAGTGCGGGCTCTGTGTTGCGTGACCACTGCGATCTGACCATGTTAACTGTTCCTCGAAAGGTAGTAAAAAATAAGGATTAAAGTCTGTTGTGTACAACAGACCTTTCTGGATGGGGCAAAAGCTGTCCTCGTTGGCTCAGCCGAGTTAGCTTAAAAGGAATTTATTATATTTATAGAAAATAATTGGATCAGATAGCATGAACTAGGTAACTATGCATTATCATTAATGCTTACACCTAATTCTCATTTAACATTTCAGTATGCTTAGCCCTTTTTACGAAACAGGCTTCAATGGGAGACGTCATGGCATGGAGTATCTCCAATTACATTTGTTTAGTACCCAGTTCAGAGTCCTCCAAATCTTAACATCTTGCTACTTTTGACAGGCAGTTAATAAAACTAGAAGCAGGGCAAAACTGAGATAGCATTAATAGTAATGAAACTGGAGAAAGACAGGAGAGAGAATTTTGGGAAAAGACAGGCATTAAGACATAGCCCTGCCTTTTAGTGACTGCTGTCCTGACAAACAGTGTCCCGTAGATCATGCTTTATTCCAGGAGAGGGCTTTTGTAGACACCACAGGCAACAAAGCTATTTGTTCTGGAAATATGCACGGCGGCGAATGGATGTTCTCTAATTCATCTCTACATCCTCACAGCAGTGCAAGGTAGGCATGAGGCTGGCTTCTTCCAATTAGCTTCCTCTGACAGAAATATTCCATTTCCCTCTCAGCTGGGAGGTCTTCACAAAATACTACTGAGTCTTATCTACAGTAAGATACCAATTATATGCTGATATAAAACTATTTTATGGAACTCCTTAAAAATAAGTGCAATCATTTTTAGTGACAGACACTGTTCAAACTTCCAAGGCAATAGTTGAAAGACTGAGGAATTAGACCCATTGCCCAATTAGGCATGAAATGAGAGAGTAACTTGATGGCAACAGGGAGATTTCTAAGCGAGCATATAGATCTTGAGGAGGTCCTGGCTGGTGCAAAGCCGCCTCTCTGCAGTAACTGTCCATGTTGTAAACAGTGGTATGAGTGGAAGCAGAAGCTCTAAAACTATTTTAAGCATGAGGCCCAGGAAATGGGCAAGGGTGAGCTTGCTTTTTCCTTTGGACTCCAACACTTGGGAAGCAGAGTAAACTGACTGACATTGCCAGGCAGGCAGTACAAGAAAAGCATGCAAGGTCTTGAGCAGGTTGGGTATCACTGAGTGCCTTGTAATGCCCATCAATAAAACGATGAAGGAACCAGACTATTCCTCTCCAGCAACAGCATTTGAGAATAGACTGTTGGCTATTATTGCAGCAAGTGAAACAATGATACAGAGCTGACAAAAAACACTCTAAAAAGCAAGGAATCATGCAAACAAGTAAAAATAAATCCAAACCCTTTTTTCTTTTTCCTGAAAAAGTGATTCTATAATAAGCGTCTCAGGAAGAACTGGCAATTACCAAATACTAATGACATGAAGTGATGATCTGAATTAAGATTCTATGTCTAAATTTAGTAGACAGCTATCCCTAAACTGACAAGGAGCCACTCAAGTCATGGCTAGTGCAAACTGATGACTACCAGATCGAGCCCTTTAGATCCATTAAAACTTCAGCTGTTAGTAGGTTGCAACCATCTCTGAGGAGATACTTTATAATATCTCCTACTGAAGAAAGCGTTTTAATGTTAAAATAGCTCATTATCCAGTTTCTGCAGTAAATCAATCCAAGCTCTGATAGACAACAGTCTCAGTGTCTACACAACCCTGAGTCACATTCATTCTTTATCTAGGAATGAGGCAAAGAACCTCATAATGGTGATCATATTCAACAGGTACAGAGTCATAGAATCATAGAATAGTTTGGGTTGGAAGGGACCTCTAAAGCTCATCTAGTCCAACCCCCCTGCCGTGGGCAGGGACATCTTCCACTAGATCAGGTTGCTCAGAGCCCCGTCCAACCTGACCTGGAATGTTTCCAGGGACGGGGCATCCACCACCTCTGTGGGCAACCTCTGCCAGTGTTTCACCACCCTCAGCGTAAAAAAGTTCTTCCTTATATCTAGTCTAAATCTACCCCCTTTAGTTTAAAGCCATTCCCCCTTGTCCTGTCACAACAGGCCCTGCTAAAAAATTTGCCACCATCTTTTTTATAAGCCCCCTTTAAGCACTGAC